TTCCAGGCCGCACCATTGGGATCTCGATTATCTTAAGAGATACAAGGTCGGTTAAATTAGAGCAGAGGAAACTGACGACGAATAAATTGCAGAAATCTTAAGTTATCGACAAAAACATTGAAAATTATGTTTTCCGGTTTTTATTTACAGACTTTTTAGACTCATACATTATTAAGCAGTGGCGGCTGGTGTGGGGGGCTCTGGAGCGCCGCGCCGCCCCCCTTGGGATTTACAAGGAAAAAAAAATTTTAAATTTAGTTTACAATGTTATTTAGATATTAAAAAGGAAATGTTAAATTTCATGGGCGTAGCTAGGATTTTTGCCAGGGGTGGACCCAGGACTACAAGTTCTATGGACGCATCTAAAAAAAACGCACTTCAAAACCTAAACATTTTTTCGCAATTAGCGACTTACCGATATAAAACTTCAAAACACTTTTTAGTTTGATTGGATGGAAAATTATATTTCATTATTTTTTCAATACTTTGTACATACACTTTTCCGCCCTCTTTGGTATGGAAATCGAAAGTCGCGACACTTTTTCGTGTATTATTCAAATTCCATGGAAGTCTTTATTTTTCTTATGGACGATATTGGTACATATGGAATTTTTGCATTTTTTAATGCGGTGCGGTGCTTTTTTCTGGTTATTGAGATATGTCATATGACAGTTTGCTTCTTTGTTTTGCCGGAATATCAGTCACAAATAGTGCTTTGGAAACAAAACATCCATCCCTTTATTTCAAAATTTTGACATTTCAGTTATGTTGTCATTGACGATGTCAAAATTTAGTTAACGAGAATGCGAATTTCACATGAAGAGTGAGACATGATTCAAACTTACTGATTAATTAATTTGAATATCTAGCTTTGTTTAATGAGAAAATTACATTTTTAATTGGTCGAACTTTGACATTGTCAATGAACATTTAACCGAACTTCTGTCAAAATCTCATTTATTCATAGCCGAATCATTTGTTATCAAAACACTCTTGTGCGAAATTGGAAAATTTGATATTTTGACCAAAATAAAGAGGTAAACGATATCATGTGAAATAAGCGTAATTCAACTGGTGCCCATAAAAAAAAACAAATATTGTATCAACCAAGACACCGATTTTCTCCGTTCAATTTTCGAGTCCGAACGATGAAATAAAAAAAAACACACTTTTTGACGAATATCATTGAGGATGTTTGATGTAGACTGACGAAACGTGAACCAATAATTTATCTGAGAAGGTCGTTTTTTAGTTGGAATTGTACGTACAATGTTATTTGTATAAATATAAAATTCTTATAAAAATAAATAGCAAAACTAGTTTTTTGTTCATCATGTTTCATAGGAATTCTTCAAAATTCTATTACAGTGTGGAAGTAATTATGTACCTACTGTATTGACCGCAAGAATTGAAAAATTTTCATTAAGTTGCCTTCCCTTGATATGTACGTGGCACTGCCAATAACGGCCAATAATAGTAGAGGCTAGTTATTTAAATGTAAATCTAAAATATAGGTACTATTATGTACATGGCTTGTAAACATTTATGAAAGCTCTGCACTATGTTTTGTTGTATTTCAAAGCACTTAACCTCTAAAACAATATTTTCTACGTTCTTAGGAATATTTATGTAAAAAATCTGTACTTTGTACATAAAATATACAATTAAGAATTGTTCAACCTTTAAAAAGTATAGTTGCATCATTTCAAGTGTGTATCCATTTCATAAGGAAAAAAATAAAGTCGTTACATTTTCTAAACTGATTAATGACGTTCTGATGAAAAATATGTTGTTGAATGAGGCGGAAAACTGCCATTAATGTCGACCATATGGCGGTGAAGCAGGTATCTTTTTATTTTTTACGGTTAAAATCTCCAGAATACAAACCCGATTTATTTGGAATGGAAACATTTCAGAAATGGTTCAATTAAGTATAATTTTTTCACACTAAATTTGAATCTACAGGGAGTTAATGTTATACTCTGCCAAACTTTAATCATGGATTCTGCGTCACAGGTCAATGGAAAAAAATTGCTGTGTCCGGAAACGCTTCGTTCTTCAGATACAGGGTGTTAAAATTAAAAAGAATACATCATATTTATTTAAATATGTCTTAAGATGTTTGACGTAGATTGATTAAACTTATTTGGGCTAATGACTAACTAATTATGGGTAACAAATTATTGAAATGGTCCACAAATCTGCCAAGCAGTGGCGGAGGTACTGGGAAACCCTTCATTAAAAGCCATAGAATTTCGCCTCGATATTTAGGAAATTGGACAAAAATATTTAATTTCGGTTGGTACTCTAAGAAAAATATATCTTCCGTTTAATTCGAAAAACGAACCATTTCTCAGTCACTATTTTTTTAAATTTAAAATACGTCTACAACATAGTTAAATAAAGCGAATAGTCAAAACCAAAATGTATATGAATTTTTAGTTCGAAATACAATTTTAAACACAATGTAATTATGAAAAGTCTAAAAATCAGTCGTAGAATTTTTTAAATTTTCTGAATGACGGCAACTTCCAAAAAATTAAAAGTGCTACACCAACGATTTTTTTAATGTCTGATGTATCTACTGTATCTAAAATTGTATTTTTACCAACTACTTAATACTGTATTTTTTTGTGCAACGAATAATTTTCGTCATTTTTTATTTATTCAACTGTGTCGAGGTTTATCTTAAATTTTAAAAGAGAATAACTCAAAAATGGCTGGTTTTTCGAATAATCCAAGATATATATATTTTTTTTGTTGTTGAAAATACGAACTGGAATGAAATATACACATCCACTTTCCAAAATATTTAATGGCGTCGAAAATCTAGGGTTCTTAGTGACAGTGTTTCCCAGTACCTCCGCCACTGACTGATTGGCAAACTGGTGTACCAACTCAGCTAATGCTTTGCCCATAATTAGTTAAGTCATTGCTACAAGTTCATCAATCTACGTCAAACATTATAAAAGATATTTAAATAAATGTGAAATTTTTTTAAATCTTAACTTTCAACACACTGTCTTGAAAGCGAAACATTTCTGGACACATGTTTATAAGAACTGTTTTATTGATTTGCTACTAGATCCCACCGATAAAATTTATAGATCATTAACACCCTGTATAAAACATATTTCCCATCAGAAACTTAAAAGTAAAAAAGTAAATAGGTACCTACATACTTATAATGTTAGACCTTTTCTGATTTTGGCAACTAAAGAAAGCGCTTTGATAACAAATATAGTATGTATGTTATAGTAGTTTTCGAAATGTATTTTTGTCGACTTCATAAAAGTCTCCCAAATAAAAACAATCCTTTTTTTATAAAACTGCAAATATTTAAATTTAATATCTTCTAAATTCTTTACATCGACAAAATAAACATAATAATTTATTATTTGATCCTCATTTGACATATTAAAACCAAAAGATAAAAAATAGATCGACTTATCTAAAAATTTTTCAAATTCGAACTCAAAATTTTTAATTTTATAGTGAAGATTCATAAAATATTGTAGACATCAAATAAATATATTGGCTTATCCATTTGAAACTTTGAATTTGAGGTCAAACACGAAATTTTTAATTTTATTTTTCAAATCGAAATTTTCAGTTTATACTTAACAGTTTTCTTTTAATTTCGAAATTCCATGAATTTTAGTAAACAAAAAACAATGTACTAAAAATTATGAGTTTGGTTTGAAGCTACACTAAAAACTTTGTGTTTCAAAATCAAAACTTCAACTCGAAAGGTCAGTTCAGGTTTAAATCCAAAATTTTCGCTTCCAAACTCCAAATAAAAAATAACATTTTACATTTTATTATTTGTTTCTCATTTAACATATTAAAACCAAAAGATAAAAAATAGGTACATAAAATAGTATTTTTCGACTGTTTTAGATGTTTCAAATTCAAACCTAAAATTTTTAATTTAATCATGAAGTTTCATAAAATATTGTAGACGTCAAATAAATGTATGGGTATTTGTCCATTTGAATCTTTGAATTTGAGGTTAAACCCGAAATTTTGTATTTCAAAATCAAAATTAAAAGTTCCAAATCGAAGTGTCGAGTTTATACTCGAAATTTCCTTTTTCAAATTGAAATTTTAAATTCATACTCAACAGTTTTCTTTTAATTTCGAAATTCCATGAAATTTAGTAAGCAAAAAATAATGTAATACTAAAAATTATGAGTTTGAGGCTACACTCGAAGCTTTGTGTTTCAAAATCAAAACTTCGAGTTCCAACTCAAAAGTACAGGTTTAAAATATAAAATTTTCTGTTTCAAACTCAAAACTCCAAATTTAAACTCAATATTTTTAAAGTAATCTGAAAATTTGATGAAAAATAAAAAAGGTCACACTAGAAACTTCGTGTCAAATGTCAAATTTCAACTCAAAATTTCGGGGTTAAACTCAAAATTTTCTTTTTTAAATTTGAAATTTTATATCCCAACACATTTTTAATGTAATCCCGAAATTTCACGAAATTAAGCAAAAAAAAAATTAAATGTATGACCTTCATCCACTTAAACTCAAAAATATGGTTTGAGGTCACATTCAAAATTGTTATTAGCTGATAAAGGACCTAATAGTGACCGTGATAAATCCTGCTCCGGACAAAATCAAAATATTCAAGAATCACTGAAAAAGACAAATCGATATTTATGGCATCATACGGCACCATAAACTACGGAAATTTGCCCAGAGTCCGCATTCCCCTCGAAAAAGGCCGTCCAAACACAGCGGCCACGAAATAAAAACGGCTTTCTTCGAACCTAATAATAATACCGCCTCCCATACGCTCCGCAACCATGGCAAACCAGGATCCGGCCGAACGGATTATGAAACCTTATTAAAATCTCCGCCAAACGAGTAACGACTGAGTTTATCAAGTGGCGTGTGCCTATTTTTATTTGTACAACAAACAAATGGTCCTGCGCATTACAAATAAAGACACGTGTGGAGATAACCACGAACAATTGCATGTGGGTACTTACCAATGCAACTAGATGAGTATGTTGACAACTGTATTTGGTCGATTTGAATCTTGAACCCCAACCAGCGATTCTTTTACGGCAGCTAAACGCTGGCGATTACGTACGCAGTGGCCCCTCGTATCGCGGATGACAAGTTATCGACGCGCTGGCCTTGGGGGCCGGACGACCCGGCGACATCTGGTGGCGGATAGACGTACCGCTCTTGCCGGGAAAATGACAATTCGTATTTATAGATTCTTGGAATTCGCTCTTCTTGTTCGTCGATCTGTCAAACGGTATGAAAATAGTTTGATTTACTTGTTGATTAAGTGTAAATGTACTCTGGTGCTCTGGTCTGGTTATAATTTTATTTTTGTAAAAAGTTATAGGTTACCAAACAGTTTTAACTCCATTATTTTGATATAAATACTCTTAGTTACAGGCAGCTGAGTTTTTGAGGCACATTTTTTAAAACTTACGCCTGTTCAAATATCGGCATTTAGTGAGATAAAGTCTACGCCGTAGTCTATTGATTTAAGTAGTTCTGCAAAACATGCAAACATGGAAACATGGGTTCTTCTCCGTGAAAAATTACCCACTAGCTCTGTATACTTTTTTTATTTACCAAAATTCGAATTAGAAGATTTGAACTTGCAATTTTGAGTTTGAGTCAAATTTCAAGTTAAAGCTAATGCCATATCTCATGTTTAAACCAAAATTTGTTATTTTGAACTTGATATTTCAAAACAAACAGACAAGTTGGTTGGTAGACACCAGATAGCGTACTGATGAGAATTAATAAATTCGAAACTGGTGGTTGACAACCACCAACTGACAATGTTTTTACCAGATATTAGGGATGTAGTTCAGCACTGAACAGGGTATGTAGTCCGCAAGTAGTTGTTTAACACGTATCATCTGCCAATAAATTGATTGATTGATGGAGTTTGAAACATAAAAATTCTTGTTTGAAAATCGAAGTTGTTTCAAATACAAACATGAAATTTTAAATTATTTTAAACCAGACATTTTAATTTTGAACTCAAAATTTTTAATTTTATCGTGGTTTCATAAAATATAGACGAAAAATAAATGTATGAGCTTTATCCATTTGAAATTTTGAAATTGAGGTCAAACTCGAAATTTTGAGTTTCAAAATCAAAATTAAAAGTTCCAACTCGAAGTTTTGGGTTTAAACCCGAAATTTTCTTTTTAAAATCAAAATTTTAAATTCATAACAGTTTCCTTATAATTTCAAGTTTCCATGAAATTTAGTTAGCAAAAAAATGTACCTACTCAAAATTATGAGTTTGGGTCTATACTCGAGAAACATTCTATTTTAAAATCTAAACTTCAAGTTGCAACTCAAAAGTTCAGGTTTAAACCCAAAATTTTCTCTTCCAAATTCATAATTCAACGTTTTTAATGTAATCTCGAAATTTGACGAAATTACGGAGGCAGAGAAAAAATACGTGACCTTTATTCGCTTGAAACTCGAAATTTTAGTTTGAGATCACACTCGAAACTTTGTCTTTCAAAATTAAAATGTCAAATTTCAACTTAAAATTTCAGGTTTAAACGCAAAATTTCCGTTTTTCAGTTTAAATTTTAAATTCTCAAAAAATATTTTTAATGTAATCTCGAAATTTCACGAAATTAGGTAGGCAGAGAAAAAATATATGACCTTCATTCGCTTGAAACTCGAAATTTTGGTTTGAGAACACACTCAAAACTTCGTCTTTCCAAATCAAACGTCCAATTTCAACTGAAAATTTCTGATTTAAACCCAAAATTTTCCTTTTCAAATTAAAGTTTTAAATTCAAACATTTTTAACGTAACCTCGAAATTTCAGGAAATTAAGTAAAAAGAAATTTAAAATGTATGACCTTTATCCAATTAAAACTCAAAAATTTGAGATTCAGGTAGCATTCGAAACTTTATGTTTCAAAATCAAAATTTCAAGTTCACGAAACGTCACGGTTAAATTAGAAATTTTCTTTTTCAAATCAATCAAAATTTTAAGTTCTCAATATTTTTAATGTAATCTCGAAATTTCTTGAAATTTGGTAAGTAAAAAAAATAAATAAAATGTATGCATCCATCAGCAACTCGAAATTTTGTGTTTCAAACGCGAAATTTTAAGTTTCAACTCAAAATTTCAGGTATACACTTGCAATTTTGTCTTCCAAACCCCAAATTTCGAAATTAAGCTGAAAATTTTGCAAGCAAAAAATATAGTAAACCAGATAAAGGCCATCATCTGCTTCATTAATTATCTTTTTTTTTTGTATTTTCGTTAAAATTACAAACAAGAAACAACAGATGTTCTATAAAATGTTTCTAATTTCACTAGCTAAGTTAGTATGATGAAAATCAACTTAAACAATTACCGTCTTATTTTGGAAGAGGGATAAAAAAGCTGATATACCTAAAGAATCTCCAAAATAGTAATTTATTAAAACAATCTCATACATGACTTCCACAACTTTACAGTAAAAAAAAATAACTCTATTAATTTATTTAAGGAGACAGATTCATAAAATTTGTACACATATAGTAAGTAAATGGCTTTTCAATGATTATAAAATGATTTTTTAAATCCAACTCATAGAAGTTTGTAGATAAAAGTTGCAGCAAACAAAGAGAGCCATTTTTACAATACACAAAATGAATACCTTATAGTATGATTACATAAATGTTAATATATACAGGGTGTCGCAAATATGGCAGTCTTAAGTTTAGATTTAGGAAGGTAGTTCAAATAAACCGAAGTTAAGGAAGCACAAAGTTTAGTTTTTGGGATTATAATATGTCTAGAATGTTCCTTAAAAAATCCACATAGTGTGGAAGCAGGGGTGGTATAATATTATAATGAATTACAAATGATATACTGGGTGTAATAAAAAAACAAAATAAATTTTTTCCGCTATGAGTCATTGGATCTATTGCCTTTGTTTTTTTTTGTTAATCAATTTTTGGTTATAACTTTTGTGAAATACAATGTATTGCATCGAAATATGAAATAAGTAGGTTTTTAAGGAAACTAAAAATGTTGGTGTTGTTACTTTTCGATTATCTCATAGAAGTTGTTAGTTGCAATCTATCCCAGTGACCAGTGACATTTTATGACTTTTTTGAGTTTAGGTTTTCTTGCAAAAATTGTATACAAATACTCCAATTTTGACAAATAATACTGGCGTTTTTAGCATCCCCAAAACCTTATCCGCACTAAATTTCAACGCAATGACCTATATTTTGTAAAAGGAAATGACAAAAATTTTATTTAAAAAAATCATCTGGCACTCTATTTTAAAAATAAAAGACAATAGGCCATATCCATCTGAAAAAATTGTCTTCTTTCTCAATCGATCAATTAGAATTTATGGCATCATTTTTTTAAAACGCCCGGTACATTACAATATTCTCTTGGAGAAGCACAGTGATAACAAAAAATCTAATAGAAAAAAAATAGGATATTTAAATGAAAATCAAGAAAAGCCAAAAATTAATTAAACAAGAATAAAATCGTACACGTTATAATCCTGACTGTCAGTCTAAAGTAAAGACACCCTGTATACATATTTTTATATACTGATTCATCTAAATAAAAAAATTTATAATTATTGTGACTATTGTAGTGCTATCATTATATCAAGTTTATAAATTATTATTAAAATACACATTTCTCACCTTCTTTTTTGTTAATTAATGCCTGATTGAGCGCTACTCTTATTTGATCCTACGTTCTACAAAAATCACGCCACCATAACGATTAGTAAAGGAAAACAAGTTTTGTTCGACATTATTCTAGTTAATTTTCGTTTTGACTTCCTTATCTCCTGCCTCATCTAATTCGGCTTTTTTCCCCCTTAATCGTTTCTGTTTCAACAGATACCTGCCGAGGAAATACAGCCCGACGTACAGGATCGGAACGCAGTGGTACACGCTGCTGTAGTATCTATATATCTTCCAGACCTCTAAAAGAACAAAGGCGGTGGCTTGGTAGGAAAACATTTGCATTTTTAGGAAGAGCAGGAGCAGTTTTGATGCTTTCAGAGCCTAAAAAAATGATTCATTGCGAGTATATATTAACAAACATTTCAATTGAATAATAAGATGCTGTGCCCTCTCCCACGCAGATCATTCACTTCTAGGCTAGTCTTTGCAATAGAAAGAGAGGAGAGCGATAACATAATTATTATTATTACAAGTTTGTCACTTTGGTGCGTAGGTAAAGCAGCACCTTAAAGGGACCAGTGGGGTATAATAATAATTTATTTTCCTCTTAGACATGAACTAACATGTATAGGAATAGTCAAACAACCATAAATTATAGTCTTTCCGATATCAATTGAAGAAGCACGAGATTGACAGTATGTACCAGGTTCGGTCGCTGACGCAGCAACTCGGCATTGAAATATTTGAAAAACTTGTTCCCATATTTATTTAGCCATATACAGGTCTGGTCGCACTAAACGTAGAGATGATAGAAATGTATACGCCCAGATGAAGAATGTGAGCGGGGCACAGGAAAACAAGCACAGCTGCATTGGGCTACTGGGCAATAAATCTCAGCAGTTGACAGGTGGTTGATAAATTGCCCAGCAGTGCAGTGCAGCAATGCGGAATTTGGTGTGATTCGGGTAATTTTAATTTATTATAGGCACCTTCTATCGATCATTCATATTACAATTGCGAAAGGAAAAAATAAGAGGGATATTTTGTTTACTAATATTACAATATACAAATTATTATAATTTTTTACCTTTAGCAGAAAACTTTNAGCGATAACATAATTATTATTATTACAAGTTTGTCACTTTGGTGCATAGGTAAAGCAGCACCGTAAAGGGACCAGTGGGGTATAATAATAATAATAATTTATTTTCCTCTTAGACATGAACTAACATGTATAGGAATAGTCAAACAACCATAAATTATAGTCTTTCCGATATCAATTGAAGAAGTACGAGATTGACAGTATGTACCAGGTTAGGTCGCTGACGCAGCAACTCGGCAACAATTGAAATATTTGAAAAACTTGTTCCCATATTTATTTAGCCATATACAGGTCTGGTCAAACTAAACGTAGAGATGATAGAAATGTATACGCCCAGATGAAGAATGCGAGCGGGGCACAGGAAAACAAGCACAGCTGCATTGGGCTACTGGGCAATAAATCTCAGCAGTTGACAGGTGGTTGATAAATTGCCCAGCAGTGCAGTGCAGCAATGCGGAATTTGGTGTGATTCGGGTAATTTTAATTTATTATAGGCACCTTCTATCGATCATTCATATTACAATTGCGAAAGGAAAAAATAAGAGGGATATTTTGTTTACTAATATTACAATATACAAATTATTATAATTTTTTACCTTTAGCAGAAAACTTTTTTAGGGACGCCTATGAAACTCATTAAATTTTATTGCCAGGCGTTTTTTTTTGCATGTTCAACTGACTTCGGAAAGACTATACATAGAAGGATAGAATTCTAATATGGAATCCAAACATTTATTTACTAAATATTGTTTTAATTTTGTTTTGAATAAAAACTCACTGTTTATATTTTTTAGTTCCACAGGTAAACAATTAAATATTTTAGGCCTTACAAAGTTTGGAAAACGAGTAGTTAAATTTAATCGTGCAAATGGTACACGAAAATTATGTTTTTGCCTGGCATTGACACTGTGATACTCATTATTTATCACAAATTTGCTTTTGTGTTTGAATATGTACACCCATATTTCAAAAATATGAATACCGGCAACGTTAGAATTCTATAATGTTTAAATATATTTCTACAAGAATGAGTACTTGAAACACCAAACATACATCTTAAAACATGTTTCTGTGCAATAAAAACATGGGATGAAAGAGTTGAATTACCCCAGAAACAAACACCATACCTCAATCGAGATTCAACTTGAGCAAAGTAGATTGAGGCTCGCATTTCATTGTTTAGTGCATGTTTGTGTCTTTTAGGCATTCAAATCTGCCGCTACATTTAAAGAAAACGTAACATGTCTGAGCTATGCCTATCAAATTAATAAATGTGTTAAAAAAAGTTATACTGATTCATGCCGCTAAAATTTCGTGTTTGTGAAACGATTCTATTAGACTGGGGTTTCTATTAGCGTGAAAGTCGAAAGCATGAAATAAATTGACTCTTACAGCTGACGTACTGGGTATTTTTATTACATAATCTAACTTTTAAGTTCAGTATGTGCAATATTCTGTTGTATGTGACAGATAATGAAAAAGTTTAATTATTTTGAAAGAAATATGTTTGTAAGTGGCCACTACTTACATCACATTCATCACGTAAAAGAAAATTTGAGTGTAGTCTCGGTTAAACTTGAGTGAAAAAAAATTGTGGATCACTGTAAACTACAGTGCTAAAACAGTAGTGGCAATAATTAAAGAAGTGTAACACTACGAGTTTTAGCCATTTCATCCACTAATATTTCATGTATTTAGCTTTGTAGTTGCCAATTATTCAATATATTTTCTGTGATTTCCAGTCCATGATTTTTTTTGTCCACGTGGAAGATGTTGGCAATATTTCTATTTGTCAACAATGGTAAGACTCATTATCTACGGCAGTCACTGCACCAGGTTCGATGTGAGGAAAAATAGATGCGAACCATTTTTCCAATACTGTTTATATCTTCATGGTAATCTGTTCGTCGTTACTCAAACACATGTAAACCGTTATCCAAAAATCAGCATTCGCTTCCAATATGTGCAATTATTAATCACTGTCCTTTCCCAGAGAGTACCTTTGGTCCAGTAGAAAATCTTGTCTTTCATTTATCCATGTATTGTCAAGACAACAAATTTTAAATTTTTGATGTATGACACTTATTTTTTTTTAAAGTCTCTCTTCGTCATACTACAATTTCATCTTTTCATTAGCATACTTTTTCAATTTTGTTGTTGCTATTGCAATTTGAATTTTCTTTGTTGAATTTTTCTGTGGATTCTTTTTTTGCATGATAAACACTTCTGACAGGCATTTTTGTTAAACTGCACTTCTCACGCCATCATTCGCCGACATATATACATTTTGTGCTTGAATTCCCCGATACACATTGTTCACCACAAAATACATATTCTGTTAAATTCGATCGTTAACGACTATCCTGATTAACAATTTTGCCACTGACACCCGTACGCGATTCTATTTTTAACAACACTTATTGAAATCAGTAAAATGTGAAAATAATAACACGTCTTTCCTACTTATATGCTTATGACAAGCACTGACACTATAAAAATGAACGGCACATTAAATTTTCCATGTAGGGAATACACAAAATTATTTTATCAGTTTAAGAAGTAGTCAAAATTAAGGTTTGATTTATTTATGACCCTAGAGGTTACTGTTTTGGCACTGAAAATGAGACACAATTGTTTGAAGTTAAAAAATCGACTTACCAGTCCCGTAGTGTCTTTCAGCAGCAGTTTCACCCAAACATCCTCGTATACGAGTGCCAGGGGCACCGTTGCTATACACAGGTAATACCCGGTGTACATTCCGTGCCACAGCGCCGACAAAAACATAGTAACTCCCGTGCGGAACTTCTTAAACGGACACCTCTTGTAAATGTAGGTGGCCAACCAGTACTGCACAGTTATGTTCCAATGCTTCATGGCTTCCCTCATGGTCGGGGCAAAGTCGGATTCGTAAACGTTCAAGCAGTGGATGGTTTCGTAGCTGTACTCGAGGTTTTTGAAGTCATCGGGTTCGGCACTAAAATACAATTATTATAACGAAATTATTTGAGGAGAATTGTATAACTTACAGTTCTTTCAATTGTTTTAAATTCTCCGTAGGACCATGCCCCGATTTAGGTTTGGAAAAAGCTGGATACACCCCTAGACCTCCCATCGTGCAAACCATTTCGGTTAAAATGAGTCCTAAATATATACGACTTCGGAATATTATAAAAGCGGGCCAGATGTACCAATATCTATATAGGAACGCTCTCGTATAAAATTCATCAGTGTTGAGGTACTAGAAAGAAAGAAATTGTGTAAAAATTTAGAGGACGAACACCTTATAACTTTTTTGTTACCGATATCGGCCAGTAATAGTTTGTAAATACGTGGATCGCGCCTAGAATAGGAATTAAATATAATTTCTTAAAAATTTCTATTTTATAATCATCGTATTTGTGGTACGGCTTGTGCAGATGGTCTAGGAAAGTTCTGTACCGAAAATAGGGACCTGAAATAAATATATACAACGGTATTCAGAATGAATTAGCCAAAACAAAATAAGAAAAAAAATTTGTTTGAAAAAAAAAAAGAACTTTATAAGTATAGTTAAAGTCAAGAGGAATTTTATCATTTTATGACGCTTAGTTATCACAGATTAAATTTGCATTCAAAATATCCAAACACTCGTCCAACTACTCTTATCTAATCTACAAAGTACCTGTTAAAACTCCACAGTAGTTGTAGACGTAGCAAAACACGTCTAAAAACTGCACATCGATGTCGCACAATTCGTCCTGCAACTTTTCCTCCTCAGTCTTACTCCCTTTGTCTCTCTTCTTTTTCGAGTAATAAGAAGTGTTAACTTCGAAAGCCAAACCGATTATTTTCAACGTCACCATCATTTGCACTAGATTTGTGTGAGACGGTGGGTACGGTATTCCAAAGTATATCGTTGCTCGAAAGAAGAATAAATATAGGAATGAAAATATAAAACTGTAGATGTGGCATTTCCTGAAACATATTAATTAATAATTAATACGAACTACAGCAAATTATTAATGAAAGTCATAAAGTAATTCGTTGGACTTACCGTTTATCTGTGTACAGTATTATACAAGCATTTATTAACGTACTAACCGCGACATGCAGACAATGAAAACCGGATACTATAAAAACTATCACGAATCCGATAAGCGCTCCTACTTTTTTCTTTAGATCGGGATTTTCGATAGTTCTGTAATAGACACCAAAGCCCATTGAAAAAAACAACAGGGAGAGATAGATTATATCTTCCACGATCATTTTGGATAAATGTGTAGAAGCAGTTTTATATCACTATTGTCTAATTTAATTATAAGTTCTCCTATTCATAATTGGTTTAAAATAACTGAGGTCAAAGGTAACCTTTCTTATCATTTAAAATTAAAAATAAAAAGCATAACCTACAAAATTATTTAGTGTAGCCATCTGCTGGCAAAACGTCACAGTTGTAATATAACAATTCAGTTATCTAATTTGTTGGTCTCAATTTGTATTTTTGTAAATAAGGACAGAGATGTATTTAGCCAAAGTGTTGACAAAAGTTTAAGTGCGATTAGGTTTGAAAATAAATAATTTCAGATCTGTATCCTGGTGAACACGAACTATTATCCTTAAAAACTTACCCCCACTTATAATTACACCCTACATATTATCAGAAAAATGACTCAAGAACATAAATAATAATAAACGATGTTTTAAAAAAAATATTTTTCTTACTGTTATAACAATACATGCCATTATTTAGAATTTTCTATAAGGCCCGGGATGATTAAATTTCGAAGGCGGCTTTTCACTTTCTTCTGGCTGAGTATCAACCAGTTACTTCCTCTATTTCGTAGACTGAGTCTCCGTCGTCTTCGTCCTCGGCTCTAGCCGGCAACTCCTCTATGTAAGCGTCTGAAATAAAATTTTCATCATTTACAGTTTTGACGGAAGTAATGTAACTTACCAACTCCCCCTTCACCCTCTGAAGACTCTTCCGATGATTCCTTTTCTTTCACTACTTCCCCTAAATCGGTCAGTGTACCTGTTTTGTTTACAATTTCGTCGAGGGTCCTCTGCCAGTAACCGGCGCAGTTCATCGCCTCCGTAAGGGCTTGTAAGGTTTCGTGGGCTGTAACTACGTTCTTTATAAGATGATCCTAAAATCAGATATATTAATCCTAGGTTATTAGTAATAAATTGTATCTCTATACAGGTTCGGAAAGTCCCCATGGTTCATCGGCCGTTACGTGAGAGCGATAAAGTAAGTCATAGAAATCCGTGCGATAGAGAAGGATGCCTATAATGAAGGCGTCTCATAGTCACCGCCCTTTTCGCCCTTCCACAAATAAGATCCACGTCCACTTGTAATTCAGCGACCGGTGGTCATCTTTGTTTTCGTCGTTTGGCTTTTCTTTAATAGATGTCACTACTTATGCAATTTCGACTCCGGTATTCCGATATGTTAATACAATCCGTTGCAGAGGGCAGCACAACGCGTAACAAAGAAAACTTTTTACAGTAGCTAGTAGATACCTCTGTTTGTAAATCTAGTGACCTTGTTTCCCCTACTGAGAAGTTATTCAGTGCTCAGCTGCATTTAAAGTTCATTTAGTTGTTATTTAAGTATACTTTTTAAAATGACTTAAAAATCCCAAGAAATAAAGCAAAATTCCCTATTT